GCCATTATGGTAAAAACGCTTAATCAATGAAACGATGTTTACTGAATAGCAGGGTCAAACTGCAATTTGTTTAGTGCCCTTAAATAACTTATTTATTCAAGTTCATCACCTGCCAATAAAAGATATCAATACACTTCTTGCTATGGTGAGCTACAATGTGGTTCTCCATAGCCAACGTCGCGTCCTCTACACGACTAACAATTAATCATCAAGATAGTTTTGTCGATAGCCACGATCTAGCCTGAGCAGCCACAACTCCATAAGACTAAACGTTGCTACAGCAATAGATCGTCCCATTCGTATAAATTGTCACCCCTGGGGATACCGCCCAGGAACTCTTGCGATTAGTACTTAGGCGTATGAGCTCAAATGAACTATTCATTAGATCAAATAAGTGTATGTTAGGCGCCGACAACATTTTCTTTTCAAATCGATCAGCTGAAGAGCAGGGTTTTTGGAAAACTCTTGTGAATACAACGGTCAGTGTAGAATGGTCAGTGTTTCTGTTCCAAACAAAATTGATAAATTGACTTGGTGAGGCAAGCTTTTGCACAAGTATATTGCACATTATATGATATGGTACGACTACTCACCAATCGCCTTAGGACGGATGTTCTCAGTATGGTTAAGGTCCGTCAACTTGAGCGTACTCGTTAAGGCCTTGTATTCCGCACTTAAACTGGCTATGCTCTTCGTGTCCAGCGAGATATTCATCGCATCCTCGAGATATGTCTGATGAAAGCAGATGGACAGAGACCTTCTTCGGGGTGGAAACTGCTACCGCCTCTAAGAGAGGATATGCCGCTATCTTCGCGATGAAAGCTTCAAATTCTTGGATATAAACTGTACACTCAAATAAGCAGCGCATACCCACGATTCATATCGGTTTGAAGCTTTCCATGCCGCGATTACATATTCTTCAGCGACACTGGACGTAAGTGCCTATTCGTGCGCGCGACTTCGTAGCGTGGTGGCGCTAACGCGGCCAGCTGTTGCATATTAGCGTAACCCAAAAACGATAAGTTGTCAATGCTGAAAGCTAAGACCCCAAAGATTAGTTTTATTAGGACTCATAAGAGTGATTGTGTGTTTCGATTTGCTGCCAGATTCATGGAGATCTCTACTTTTTTTCTGGAGAGAGATTTCTTTTTGTCTCTACGCCTGATGGGCTGGTTGCTTTACATCTACGTACCTTGGATGCGGCTAAGCTCTTACGTCAACTGGTTGGGGTGTTCTTGGGAGTGTCTCAGTAGAACATTTGCATAGCTGGTGAATGCACACCAGGCGAGCCTAGAGCCGCTAACTCACTTTTTCCTTTGGAACAAACGGTAAACATTTACCTAAGCACTGATCATCGAACAACTTGTGTTCCATCCTCACAAAAGATACAGTCTCGTAAGACTCTGCTGAAGAATCTAAAACAAGCACTTCGAAGCGTTTCTCGACCGACTTGCGCAGAGGCAACTATGACTGCGC